CCGGCCCCTGGGCCCTGGGCGGTGCTCGTGGCGTGACGGAGAGGGGCAGCGGACGGCTGGGGGAGGGGTGGGAGTGGCTTGAACCTTGGAAATGGCAGACCAGGGCCCCCAGAGGACAGCCTAGTTCAAACCCCTGCTGAGGATTCGTCTTTAAGAAGCTGCAGAGTCCCCCAGGAGACTCCTTCTGGCCTCCAGGCCGAGAGCTGAAGCCCCCCACCCTTCTTGCTCAGGACTGTGGTCTTCGTTTTCCAAAGCCCAGACGCCCACCCTCGATAGACAGCCTTGTTTACCGGGACTTCCTCTCCGGAAAGGCCTGCATGACATACTCCCACCCTACCTCCAGTGGACTCAGATGCTTGTCACCTACTGGGGCTGTTTACCAGAGCCTTAACTAGGTGCGACCTGTTGATAGCTGGTGTAGTCCCACAAACCAGGATTTGGATTGAGGGTGCAGTGAGGCTCTGAGCTGCCTTCTTCCCTTCCAGAGCTGGGGGCAGCAGCCATGCCTACCTGGGAGGCCCGCCCCGCGTCCCCAGACCGCTTTGCGGTGTCTGCGGAGGCTGAGAACAAGGTTCGGGAACAGCAGCCTCATGTGGAACGCATCTTCAGCGTGGGGGTGAGTGTCCTTCCGAAGGACTGTCCGGACAACCCCCACATCTGGCTGCAGCTGGAGGGCCCTAAGGAAAACGCCAGCAGAGCCAAGGTGAACTCTTTCTCTCCCCCATCCCTCCAGGCACCAAGGACGCTTTCCCCCGGGGCGGAGGAGAGCAGGGAAGAGGAGGGGCCTGGGGAGGATCTCGACTTCTTGGTTGTCTCACTGGCAACCTCAGTGCCCCTGAGTTTTGAGGGACTTTCCAACTCTATATTTGTTTTCAGTTTCAGCTTAATTTCTTCTGTGATAGCCCAGGCTCGCAAAAATCATTCTGTGCTCTTTGGTAGAGTAGAGAGATCTGGCTGAACAAGTTGGCCCCACCAAGGAATGCACTGTGAGGTGGGAGGCTGGGCCCCATTGCTTCCTTTGGGATTAGGCTGGGGTTCCATGATGGCTCAGTTTTGTGATAGAAGTCTCAGTTTCCTTATTTCTAAAATGGGAATAACATCATGTGGATACTTCAGACATCCTGGAGCTCAGGAGCGAGCAAGGAGCCAGGAGAGGTGACCCAGGCCAGTTAGGATTCCAGCAGTTTACTTTTCCTGACCTTCCCTTCCTCCCAACCAGGAGTACCTGAAGGGCCTCTGCAGCCCAGAACTGCAGGATGAAATCCATTACCCGCCCAAACTGCACTGCATCTTTCTGGGAGCCCAGGGCTTCTTCCTTGACTGTCTGGCCTGGAGCACATCAGCCCATCTGGTGCCCAGGGCGCCCGGCACACTGATGATCAGTGGCCTGACTGAGGCTTTTGTCATGGCTCAGAGCCGGGTAGAAGAGCTGACAGAGCGGCTGAGCTGGGACTTCACGCCGGGACCATCTTCCGGAGCCTCTCAGTGTACTGGAGTGCTGAGAGACTTCTCTGCCCTGCTGCAGTCGCCGGGGGATGCCCATAGAGAGGCTCTGCTGCAGTTGCCCCTGGCTGTCCAGGAGGAGCTGCTGAGTCTGGTGCAGGAGGCGTCCAGTGGGCAGGGGCCAGGAGCGCTGGCTTCTTGGGAGGGGCGGAGCTCAGGCTTGCTCCGTGCTCAGTGCCAAGAAGAGAGAGCTCCCCCTAGTGACGGCAGGGAGTCCCTGGACACTGGATCTGTGGGACCCAGAGATTCCAGGGGAGCAAGGGGAGACAATTATGCTGTGGAAAAGGAGGGAGGGAAACAGGGTGGTCCCAGGGAGATGGATTTGGGGTGGAAGGAATTGCCTGGGGAAGAGGCCTGGGAGAGAGAAGTGGCCCTCAGGCCACAGTCAGTGGGTGGAGGGTTAAGGGAGTCAGCACCCCTGAAAGGGAAGGCCCTGGGGAAGGAGGAGGTAACTCAAGGAGGAGGAGGGGTCTGTGTCCACCGTGAGCCTCCCGGTGCCCATGGCTCCTGTCACAGGGCAGCTCAGTCCCGAGGAGCCTCCCTCCTCCAGCGGCTCCACAATGGGAATGCTTCTCCTCCAAGGGTGCCCAGCCCTCCGCCTGCACCAGAACCCCCATGGCACTGTGGAGACCGGGGTGACTGGGGAGACCGGGGAGATGGTGGGGACAGGGGAGACAAGCAGCAGGGCGTGGCACGGGGTCGGGGGCCTCAATGGAAACGAGGTGCCCGAGGGGGCAACTTGGTGACTGGCACACAGCGTTTCAAGGAGGCCCTGCAGGATCCTTTCACACTGTGCCTTGCCAATGTGCCTGGCCAGCCAGACCTCCGCCATATTGTCATTGACGGCAGCAACGTGGCCATGGTGTGAGTACCTGGTGGGGCTGAGGGCCTAGGGGAGGGAGGATATGTCCTGAGGGGCTGGCATTGTAGCCAGGGTGCCAAGCCCCTCCTCTGGCCGACCCCCTCCCACTGCAGGCATGGCCTTCAGCACTACTTCTCCAGCCGGGGCATTGCCATTGCTGTGCAGTACTTCTGGGACCGTGGCCACCGTGACATAACTGTCTTTGTGCCTCAGTGGCGCTTCAGTAAGGATTCCAAAGTCAGAGGTGAGTTGGGCCTGGTCTTCAGTGTCCCAGGGTAGGCTCTGTTTCCACCTTGAGGAGAACCCTATTATGTTCTTTTTTAATAGAGAGTCACTTCCTGCAAAAGCTGTATTCCCTCAGCCTGCTCTCCCTCACACCCTCACGAGTCATGGATGGCAAGAGGATCTCCTCCTATGATGACAGGTACTTGCTCCTCTCCTGGCCCCAGGCTTGATATTCAAGGAGCCGTGTGGAAGATTGAGGGAGAGGGAAAAGCTCCTGGTGGTTTACACTTTCCAAGCCTTGGTGGTGGGTAAGGGCCAGTTACTCCTCTGTGTGCCTTACGATCGGGTAGGTAAACCTGCCCTGCAGGTGTGATGAGATGAACTGTAGACAACCATGTTTGCCTATTCATCATTCATCAAACAAAATGATACCTCATATTTGTATAGTGCCTTACTGTCTAGAAAATACTGGTTTAGTGGAAAGGTGGGAAAGCTGGTTACATAAATAGCTGACACGATGTCTTCTTATAACCTGAATTTCCAAACATGCAGAGAAACTTCCCTAACATTCTGGAGAAACCAGAGTAAAGATCAAAATAACAAGTAAAATGAAGAAACAACCCACGAATAATAGGACTGTACAAAACATGGTATAATAGAAGGATCACTGGATTTAGAATTGGAAGATCTGAATTTGAGCCTCATGTAGCACTACTCATTGACTTTGACTGTGCAACTTTTCTTAGTGAATTAACCTCTTTGTCTCAGGGTCCTCCTCCATTCATTTACCCTCCTTGTGAATATACGAAAAAGATGAGGTATGTGCTTGCCTTGCTCAAGGTGCTGGGCAAGAGTACAGTGACGTTCCTTCGTAACTTTGCACAGACCTACTCAAGTGTAGCAGTGGGTATATCTCCAATCTACAGTTGTGGAGACAGAGCGTCAGAATGGTTACCTGTCTTAGCAAAGGGAAATTAGACCTCAAAGCTGCCAGATGGTTTTAATGAAAATACAAGGCACATTTCTACCATAGTCTGCATAGGTGGTGTGAGAAATGAGCAGATTTTAGAGAGCCAAGTTAAAAATTTTACAAGTTCTTTATTCTCTAGGGCATTATTCAGTTTTTAAAAATAGTTTCCAAACCATAGTGATATATACTTTGTCTTTTCAAACACTTACCTTCTATTCCTTAACAAGTAAATGGTATTCTACAAAAAAGCAGTTTACTTTCTCCCAATGTTATTCTATTTATGTCTAGATTTCACAGATTACCCAAGATATGGAACCTTCTTTCCACACCTGCATTGAAACAGAATTGAAACTGAAGATTGAGTTCGTTTTAATGAATGTTAAAGGCATGTGTCTGCCCAGTTGTGTGGGACCTGGTTGGCAGATAACATAATATAAATTGGGAATTTGCCCAATAACAGTGAATAAACACAGTGGTGCACAGCATAGGCATACTGAATGAATGTTGCTGAACAACATACTGTGTAATGCGATCATAGTAAAATATGCTTAACTGGAAAATACCGTTTGCATACCATAAGTGTACCATATACTTTTTGTTTTTGTTTTTTTGAGACAGAGCCTTGCTCTGTCCGCATACTGGAGTGCAGTGGCATGATTTCGGCTCACTGCAACCTCCGCCTTCTGGGTTCAAGTGATTCCCCTACCTCAGCCTCCCGAGTAGCTGGGACTTCAGGTGCATGCCACTATGCCTGGCTAATTTTTAGCATTTTAGTAGAGATGGGGTTTCACCATGTTGGCCAGGGTGGTCTTGATTTCCTGACCTCATGATCCGCCCACGTCAGCCTCCCAAAGTGCTGGGATTACAGGCGTGAGCCACCAAGTCCGGCCAAGTGTACCATAGACATTTGTATGTCATTCTCTGAATTTGTTTCCCAGACAGAAGCTCAGAGCCTGATATCTGTCACATCTAATCCTGACTCCAAGTTCCCCCTATACCACACTATCTTTCAAATACTGACTGCTCACTTAGTACTAGGTGCATGGCCTGCAGGAGGAGGTGGGAACACTGGGAACAAGATCTGATTCTTGACTAGAGAGCTGAAAGAAACCATAAACCAAACACTACAGGAATGCGCCCTTCTGGCTGGGGTTTTGTGGGAAAGGAGAGATTTGTGAGTTTTTGTGTTGAGAAGACTGGGATGGTTGGGATCTCTTGGTTTCTAAATCTGTTAAAAAGACCACCACCCACCACCTCATGAGTCCTATCCTGTCTTGTGGAATCAGAATTACTGAAGTGGAGCCCAGGCATTTTTTTTAAAAGTTCCCTTGGTGATTCTTTTCCTTAGCAAGTCTTGGGAAGTGCCTTCCAGATAGAGGAAGTAGTTGGAGAAATATGGAAGTCAGCATAAGACATATGTGGAGAGCAGAGTGTAATCTGATTATTGATTTTAGCTGGAGTTGGGAGTGGATTAGGGAATATTGGGAGAGAGAAGGCTGTAAGGGTGATTTGAGCTGGCCTGTAGAAGGCCTTAGCTGCCAGGCCTGGGCGTGTAGACTTTATTTGGTAAATAAAGGGCAAGTGTGGGAGAGTTTTGTGTAGGGGATAAGCATGCTTTCTTGTGGCAGGGCAGGGGAGACTTGAGGGTGGGTGAGTGGTCAGAGGTGGGGACCCCCTTGTTGGGAAGTGATGCATGATCTCAGTTGCAGTATTTGAATTACTAGGGTGCTAATGGTGGTCCTGGGAAGGAAGGGAGCAGAGCACAAAGGCTTTTCAAAGGAAGGGCATGTTGGATTTGCGAGGGATTGGTTGGGCAGGGTGGAAGACAGTCAGAGCTAGATCTTACTGTTCACTAATGTGGCACAAAGTTTTGGGTAAAGGACTATGGTGAGCAGATAGGATACTACTGGGAGACCACCTTGGATTCATCTTTGTTTCCTCTCTAGCCCATGGCACTTATATCTAGTCAGTTGCCTGTAGCTGGGTCAAGTGAGGTAGGGGGCCAGATCTCCATCATCAGAAGTGACTCATGGGAGTCAGTAAAACTTCTGGGGTTGGGGCCTTGGAGAGTCTCAAATGGTTGCTGTGGTTTTTCCTTTTATTTTTATAGATTTGGGGGATACCAGTACAGTTTTGCTACATGGATATAATGCATAGTGGTGAAGTCTAGGCTTTTAATGTAACCATGATCCAAATAGTGAACATTGTACCCAGTAGGTAATTTTTCAACCCTCCCTTGGTTGCTGTGGTTTTGGAGACAGGTTCATGGTGAAGCTGGCTGAAGAGACAGATGGGATAATTGTCTCCAATGACCAGTTCCGGGACCTGGCGGAGGAGTCTGAGAAGTGGATGGCAATCATCAGAGAACGGTGAGGGAGCCCTCCTGCTGAGAATTGGGCACAGATGCAGATGTTTTTCTAAAGCCAGCTCTGCTCTGGCCATGGGGTGAAAACTCTGGGAAGCACGTGAAGTTTTCTTGAAGGATGGAGCCAGCAGCTTCTGGTGATACTGGTCTCAGTCGTCTGGGAAGTGGGCCAGGGCCCCCTCTGTGACCACATATCTTTCGCCATCCAGCCTGCTGCCCTTTACCTTTGTGGGAAACCTCTTCATGGTACCTGATGACCCACTGGGACGAAACGGCCCCACCCTGGATGAATTTCTGAAGAAGCCAGCCAGGTAATCCTTCCCCTAGACTACTTGCAGGCAGCCCCCCCCACCCCTGGCCCTCTCTCAGCAGGCCCAGAGACTTGGGTGGAAGTGTGATATCAGTTTGAGCAAAATTAAGTGTGATCTTAATTTTGCAGTGGTTTGAGTTGCCTTGGCCTTTATAAGCTTCCCAGGGGATCCTGACATAGAACCTCCTTGCTGGTAGGGAAACACCTGCTTCCTGTTTCTCTTAATCAGCATGTTTGATGGAGTTATTTGGAAAACGGTTGCTTATACTGAGATCCAGTTGTATTCAGCATGCCTTCTACTGACCATTACATAAGTGATTCATTTAGGACTAGAACTACATCATAATAGTGGCAGAGTTCACCCTGGTTCCAAAAGAACGGCCCAGCTCCCCTTCAGAAGTGGGTTGATACTGCCACTCAGTGGTCAGCTTCAGGAACTTCAGGGTTTCTCCCCCAAAGCCAAGAATAGGCAGGACAATTAAGAGAGGGGTAGCCCACTAAGATCTAATTTCCCCCCAGGATGCTCATCAGCTCTTTTTGGTCTGTTTCTTCCTAGGACACAAGGGTCTTCTAAGGCTCAGCATCCTTCCAGGGGCTTTGCAGAACATGGTAAACAGCAGCACGGGAGAGAAGAGGAAAAAGGTAGTGGTGGCATTCGGAAGACCCGGGAAACAGAGCGGCTCCGGCGGCAGCTGCTGGAGGTGTTTTGGGGTCAGGATCACAAGGTGGACTTCATCCTGCAGCGGGAGCCATACTGCCGGGACATTAACCAACTGTCTGAGGCCCTGCTCAGTCTTAACTTTTGAGCCTCACCTGCTTGAGTGGTTGCCGCCCCGTCAGCTCCAGCCGCCTCCAGCTCAGCCCTTTCTGTGAGAGTCCCTCTGCTGCTCACACTCTGATCCAGAGGCACCCTGAGTTGATGCTTTGGATCAGGGAAGCCACTTTGGGACAGGTCCATAAAGTGACCTGATCTTACCGAGTGAGGACCTCAGCCAGCTCTCAAGAGGTTCTGCTCAGCCTTAACTTCTCAACTTTGCCTTTAGCACAGGGTTTCTGTAGGGAGTAGGGGCTGCTGGAGAGGATTAGTTCTGGACACTGAGACTGTTGGCTCCACCTCCAAGCTGAGCTGGGGTGGAGGGCAGGGTGGGCGGGAACTGACAGGAAGTTAAGCTGTTCCTCTCTCTGGCTGCTGCTGTGGATGGCCAGAGGACAGGATACTCCCTGGCTGAGCTCCTGGGAGTGTGGAAGGAGACGCTGGGCCCTGGAAGGGCCGCAGCGTTATGTGGATGGGGCCACGATAGGATGGAGTGAGCTAGTGAAGAAGGCAGAGGGAGACTTGGCTTCTGGTCTCAGCTATGCCTGTTTGTGATTGAGTTGCTTGGGCTTTACTTCCGCCTACAAATCAGTGGTAAAAATACCTGTTGGGAGGAGAAATGAGAACATAGAGGAAACCTTCTTGGAGAAAAGGTGCTTGGACCAAGTCTCAGGTGTGTCTGCCTGTGGCTGCACAGGCTCTCTAACCAAAACCTCACTTTCAGAGAGATGTGGGTCCTTTGTCTTCAGGGTCCACACCCTAGATTTTAACACTGCATTCTCACTATAACATGCCCTATAATGGCTGCATCCCTTTTGAGCAACCTCCAAAATCCACATTTATACAATAGGTAAATTAGGGATGACTGCATTATCAGAATACTCTCAGGGTTCCTATAAATGGCAGCTCTCCTGTTGTATTCAAGTGTTTGTTTACAGACTAACAAATTTGTTGGCAAATCCCTGGTTAGATGCACTTGCTGGTGTTGAGATGAACACATCGATTTTTCACCAAATCGATGAAGCCATGCTCTGCAATGACAATATTAATGTGATCCAACCCTAACATTTTCTCTATGGAAGATATATGTTGCATAAAGTGAGGCACACTTCTGCTTTATGTATGTGTGTATGGGGATGGGAAGACTTAACGGAAGTTGAACCAGTTGGTTCTAGATGAACCAATTATCTGGAAAATGAAATAACCAGAGTTGGAAGGCACTTGACTGGCCACCAGACCAACTCTGCTGTCACTAACATGCTCTCTCCACCCTGATTCCTACAGGTCATTGCCCTCGGTCTGCTTGAAGTCCTCCTGTGCCAGGGAATTTACTATCTCCAAGGTAGCACATTCCCTGTGTAGACGGTATTAATCAGTACTCCTTCCTTTAGTGCAGCCTAAAGTATGCTTTTCTGTTACGTCTACCTTTGAGGCTGGTCATACCCCCAGGAACAATACAGAGCCAGTCAACTTCCTGGAATCCAAGACCAGATAAAGAAGTAGGACAGGTGCCCCTGGATTCTGTTCTATGTGGGCCCTGTGGTGAGTCTCTGGATAAGATCTTTTCCAGGCCGTGACTTTTGCCTCCCTCTGAATGGCACAGGGAGTTGAATACTGCATGGAGAATGTAATGATGATGGGGAGGGTCCTTGGGTCCTTGTGTCCTCACCCCTCCCTTTTTGGTGATTTACACCACTGTACCATACTGACCCAGGCTGGGGGCAGGTGTGTTGGAGATAGGCTGGTCAAGGAGGTGACAGTGATTCAGAGATAACCCAGAGGTCCCTGAGAAGAAGAGACTGGTTAATATGGCCTGAACCGGTGGCTGGGGGAACTGTGTCTGATCAAGTTATGGCAGATGTCACAGCTTTAGGTAGGTAAAAAGGGTCTTAGATGAAAACTTGGGAGGTTTTTTTTTTTTTCCGGATAGGGTTGTTTATAGTTCTTGATTGGTATCTTGCCCTTTTCACTTTCAGTGATGGTGGGTGTACAGTAGACCAAAAGTATCTTCTGCCCTTTTGTGCTAATGGTGCTGGTTGACGTGAGTGGCCCCAGTCAGATGAGAGGCAAGTCCTAAGCTTCTTATAGACAGGGATGTTGGCTTTGTTCTGCTGCAGCCTGATAAACTGGGACCACTGTGTGGTTAGTAATGCACTTGCCATTTGGTGACACAGACTGAAGTCTATCCTACACCTGGGCCTCACCTTTTCCTCTACTGGCATTCTAATGGCACTCTGACAGCATCCAGGGTGACTACAGGGCCCACTGGAAATAGATCATCATTCTGTCTTCTAGTGCCTACCTTTATCATAACCAGATGTCCCAAACTTGTGACAAGCTCTTTTGGCAACTGAAGGACCAAGAAGGGAGAGGGTGATGAGAGAGACTGCCCATTATAACTTTCAAAACCCCGTCTTGGGGGAAGAATCATCTAGGGTGACATTCCTTGAAGTAAATCGTAGGCGAATCTAGGCCAGAGAGATGAGCCAAGGTTAGTAAGATAATTTATCTTTATTGCCTAAACTGCAGAGCATTCTCTACACAGCATAAAGGAGAAGTGGGGCAGCTGCAGGACATGTAGAGAAACCCAACTGGGAAATCTTGCAAGGAGTTGAAAAGATTAATGTCCCAACCTGATGAGATTACAGCCTTGAGACAATAAGGTGGAGCAACAGAACAATGGGAAAGAGGACTGGGGGAGAAATCTAAGAACCAGATGGCTTCAGCTCTCTAGAGGAGCTGAGCCTATTCATAGTGCCTAACCTGGAAGCCTATGAGGGACAGGCCTCAGGCCCTTGCCATGACCTACTTAGGCTACAATTTCCTTTAAGGCAGCCCCTAGCTCTGGGAAGGAGTACTGGTAGCCAGTAGCCAGTGTTCGCCGTGGGATCACCTTCTGGCCCTCCAGCAGCATGATGGCACGCTCTCGCCCAAAGACAGCTTGCACTATAGTGCTGGGGACAGGGATGAAGGCTCGGTGGCCCAGGGCAGCACCCAAGGCCTGGGCAAACTCAGCATTAGTGGCGGAGGATGGAGCCACTCCATTCAGGACCCCGTGCACGTGGTTTGCTTCAAGAGCATGGGTCAGGATTCCTGCCAGGTCCCCGATGTGTATCCAGGGGAAGAATTGGTGGCCTGAGCCGATGGGGCCCCCCAGGCCCAGCCGAAAGGGCAGCAGCATGTGGCTGATGGCACCACCCCCACGGCCCAGTACAACCCCTACAGCAGGCAAGAGGGAAGGTACAGAGGTCCTCTCAGCCTTGAAGCAGCCCCACTGCTCCTCCTGGTTTCTGTTTCCCCTTCCTCACTCTCCCCATGCTGACTTGGCTCTGTAACAGAAGTGAGCAGTATGGCTCTCTAAGACTTCATACCTTCTCATCTGCAGGTTGGCTAGAAGTGGTAGCATCCTCTCACTCTGTAATCTCAGCTCTCCTAATCCTATCAGCTCTCCTAATCCCATCACTTCCCCAGCCCAAAGAAGACATTCCAACCCTGTCTGATACCCAGGCCCCTGTTTCTCACCCGAGCGCACCACCACCTGGCGTGTAGAATCTCCAGGAAGCCTGGCTGCAGCTTCCCATTTGGTTACGAGGTTGGAGAAAAAGTCAAAGTCCCCTCCTGGGCTGTCTTCATCATACTCCGCAGTCCGACTGGGCTGGTAGTAAGCTGCCGGTGGAACACACTCATTTGCCCTGGGTGTCCTTGGTCCTGCCTGGCTCTCTGTAGTGGAGGCTTCCCTTGGCCTCACCTTCTTTGGCCCTTAGGATCTCCCCATTTGGAGACAGAGCCATTTGGATATTTTCCCCTTGAACTTTTCCAGGACCTGAAGTGTTCCTTCCCTGGAGGAACTCTGGTTGCAGGGCTAAACTTAGAGGCTGCTAGAGTGTAGTGGTTAAGAACAGGAACTTGGGTACCAGGCTGCCTGAGTTTTAATCAGCTCCCTCATTTTTAACTCTGTGACTTGATGCAAGTTACTTAACCTCTCTGTATAGAATTTTCACATCTTTAAAATGGGAATAATAGTACCTACCTCATAGGGTTGTTGTAAGGAATAAATGATAGTAAGCATAAAACACTTCAAATAGTGGCTGGTGTGTGCATTATAATTGTTTGCAATTACTTGGTCCCAGAGGTGACCAGGAACTCTGTTCCTAAAGAACTATGGTGTGAGGAGTAAGGGACTTTGGAATAGGTGGACTTTTCCCTGGCACTAAGAGTGATGCCACTCCTCACTCTTTTTCAGGATCTCAGTTTCTTAGTGAAAGTACACAAAGGTTAGGAGAAACATGCATGGATCAAGGGCCTAGGAAGTCATTTTGCCTGGAAAAAACCAGTGCTTGGGTGTGTGCACAGCTACAGAGGTCTGAGTTACCCCCTTCCCATGGCTAATATGAGGGGCTGGTGATTTAGGGGGCATACCTACACCTGTGACTAAGACCCAGGCCTTGGGGGGTTGTGGGGCTTTGGTGATGGCTTTAGCCAGCAATTGGGTGGTATCTAGGCGGCTGCGGAGAACCTCTTTTTGGAAGGTTTCATTCCATCTGCAGGAGAAACATGGGAAATAAAAAGCCACTAAATACATAGGTGCACATATCCCTCTCTCTATCTTTTCCTGGGAACTATTTCATACCCATTTCTAGTAAAGCCCTGAATTTTGGCTTAACAGAAACAGTCAACGTCTCTTGTAGAGGGAAAGGGCATACATTTTCTGGGCATCCTGAGTTATACCTGAGGACTTAAGCCAATTGGCTGACTGGGTGGAGAAGTGGAGCAGAATGAGTAGTCTGGGATATCGGTTTAGTTCAGAATCTGGGAGCTCCATTACCCTTAGCTCACAGGTTCTCATCAGTGGTACACTCTCCTCCCTGTGCTCTAGTGGGTATCAGCTTTAGGGCCCAGGCTGACCTTCGGAGAGGGTTGAGGATGTTCTCTCCGGCCAGGTTGACGGCGGCATCGCAGCTCGGCAGCCCAGATGCAGCCAGCTCATCCTGTTGGAGAAAGCACACAGTGCCCCTGCACCGCCCAACTCTGCCCTCCCACCCGCTTCCAGAGGATGGACTTACCCACGTGATCCGGCCGGGCCCGGGCTGTCGGGAGACCAAGGTCACTTCGTGGCCTCTGGCGTTCAGCAGCTGGCTTAGGGCTGTCCCAATGAAGCCAGTCCCGCCACCTGATCGGAAAATACAAATTGCTTATATTCCCGGGGAGTCGGGGTGGGGACGCCTTTCGTCCCCGCTGTGGCCCCCCTCTTCCGGCGCCAGCCCATCTGACACCAGACTGCTCCCCACTTCTCCCCCTCCCCGCGATGCAGAGGTGACACAGGTCACAGGGATTAGGGAGATTCGGCTTCTCGGGCTAGGCGGCCAAGGCCAGGTTACCAGTGCACTAGACAGTGCCCTCCCGGAAGCGGATTCCCAGCGCTCAATCTCCGACTAAGCCCGCCCGGCACTCTCCCTTTCTGCAGTCCCTCACCCACAAGCACACGCATAGCGACTAGCACCTAACGCGCCTGCGTAAGGTTTAGAGTTTGCCTCACTTCAAACGCGACCAGGACCTCTCTGCGCATGTCCCTTTCGGGAAGCGGGTTCCAATCGAGGTCGCAACCCTGTGCGTGGCCTTTCTCGGCGACCCGGAAAAGCTTGTAAATATAGGCTGTGTGTTTCTCTAGCAAGCGAGGTGGGAGGGATTAGACCGATGGACCCAGAAAAGGCGGAGGAGGGAAGGTTTTAGTGTAGAAAACCAGCCAAACCAAACTCAACCAACAAAACCCTTCACTTAAAACCCGAAGCTACCCAGACCTCAGAATTCTGGATATCTATTAAGTTGGCGGGTCAGTAATGCAAGAGAACCCTTCCACCGGTAGTCTGGATTTCTTTCCACTCGGCCAGTTTTTTCTTCTCTCTCTTCCTGCTGGCTCCTTTCTATCCGCATTTAAACATTCCAAAGGTCCCCTCATATTAAAATAACTCTTCTCCAGACCTGTTTTTCCTCTAGCTATTATTATTATTATTATTTTTGCCTCCATAGCCAAACTTCCCAAAAGTGTGTTTGCCATTTTCTACTTCTTTCTTCACTCCTATAGGGTTTGTGCCTTTATCATTCATTTCCTCACTCTCCAAGAACATGTTTCCCATGTGTCAACAAATCTAATCCCTAGTTTTCAGTTAGTTTTCTTGACCTGTCTGTATCATTGGGCAACTGCTGATTCCTTCCTCTCTTTGAAAATGTTTGGCCTCGGTGAAAGACATTCTCTTCTGGGTCTTTCTCCTACCTTTTTTCAGTCTCTGATGCTTGCTCCACCTCTGCTAAGTTCTTAAAATATTGGTATTCCTCAGAGCTGGGTCCTAGGACCTTCTCTTCCCACTCTGCACTTTACGCCAGGGATCTATGCCTTGAATTCAGTTACCAGGCTTTAACAGAAGACATCCCAAATCTCCTATGCAACTCGGATCTCTCATCTGAGCTCCTAACCCCTATAAAAACCTTTCAGTACACATCTCTTCTTGGACATCCGAAACCCTATTGATTTTAAATACTGAATCTCTCCCAGGTTTATCTAAGAGGAGTCTTTGAAAAGTTCATGGAAAATGTGTATTATGCTAAAAACTACATAGGGTTCCAAATTTTTTTACACCAAAATAAACTTGTATTGACTTGTTATATAACATGTCTGAACAGGATCTGAGGCACTAAGAAGGCTAAGACAGTTTGAAAAGAGCCCCTATTAAAGCAATCTGAATTCTGTGAAAATTGAAGCAAGAACAAACACGGAATTTGTGGTGAAGAACGATGAAATTGATGCTTTATGAAAAATTTATGAGGACAATGCCCCAAATAAATCAGCAGTCTACAAATGCATAACTCATTTTAAGAAACGAGGAGATGTCCAAGCATGGTGGCTCATGCCTGTAATCCCAGTACTTTGGGAGGATTATGCACGAGGCTCTCTCAAGTCCAGGAGTTTGAGACCAGCCTGGGTAACATGGCAAGACCTTATCTGTACTAAAAATTTAAAAATTAGCCAGGTGTGGTGGTGCACACATGTAGTCCCAGTGTCTTGGGAGGCTGAGGCAGGAGGATTGCTTAAGCCCAGTAGTTCAAGATTGCAGTGAGCTATGATTGAGCCACTGTGGTCCAGCCTGGGCAACAGAGTGAGACCCCATCTCAACAAAATGGGGAGGAGATGATGTTGAAGATATAGATAGTGGCAGAGTATCCACATCACTTTGTGAGGAAAAAAATTCATCTTGTTTGTGCCCTAATTGAAGAGAACAGCAGAAACAATAGCCAACACAAGAAACATCTCAATTGGTTCAGTTTACACAATTCTGACTGAAAAATTACAGTGGAGTAAACTTTCCACTTGATGGGTGACAAAACTGTTGTACTCAGATCTGCTACAGATAAGAGCAGAGCTTTCAGTGGAAAGTTTAAACAAGTGGGGTCAAGATCCTTGATATGGCTTTGTGATCTCACCCAAATCTCATCTTTAATTGTAATCCCCAGCTATTGAGGGAAAGACCTGGTGGGAGGTGATTGGATCATCGGGGCAGTTTCCCCCATGCTGTCTTCATGATAGTGAGGGTGTTCCCATGAGATCTGATGGTTTTATAAACAGCAGTCTCCTCTGGGCTTTTCACTCACTCTTTCCTACCACCATGTGAAGAAGGGCTTTGCTTCCCCTTTGCCTTCCACCATGATTTTAAGTTTCCTGAGGCCTCCTGAGACATGCAGAACCGTGACTCAATTAAACCTATTTTGTTTATAAATTACTCAGTCCCCAGCAGTTCTTTATAGCAGTGTGAAAACAGACTAATACAATCCTGAAGCATTTCATCAAAGAATTGTAACAGGAGATGAAACATGGCTTCACCAGTATGATCCTGAAGAAAAAGCACAAGCAAAGCAATGGCTATCAAGAGGAGGAAGTCAAAACAAAGCAGACCAGTCAAGAGCAAAGGTAGTGGCAACAGTTTTTTTGGGATACTCAAGGTATTTTTCTTGTTGACTTTGTGGAGGACCAAAGAATGATAACATTAATTTGCCTATTGAGAGTGTTTTGAGAAAGTTAGCCAAAGCTTTAGCAGAAAAACACCTGAGAAAGCTTCACCAGACAGTTCTTCTCCACTGCGACAATGCTTCTGCTCATGTATCTCATCAAACAAGAACAATTTTGTTAGTGTTTCAATGGGAAATCATTAGGCATCCACCTGATTTGGCCCCTTCTGACTTCTTTTTGTTTCCTAATCTTAAAAACATCTGTCAAGGGCACACAGTTTTCTTCAGTTAATAATGTAAAAAGTACTGTTTTGACATGGTTAAGTCTCCAGGACTCTCAGTTCTTTAGGGTGTACTAAATGGCTGGTGTCATTTCTTACAAAAGTGTCTTGAACTTGGTGGAATTTATGTTGAGAAATAAAGTTTATATTTTATATTTTTTATCTTTTAATTCATTTTTTCCACAAACATTTTGAAATTTCCTCATATTCCCTCTGTCTCTGCCATCACAATCCTCTTATGAGTTATTCTGTCTTGTGTAAATATCTGCAATAGTCTCCTAGTAGGTCTTCCTGCTTTTGCATGTTTCTCCTCTCCAAACTATTTCACACATTGCAAGCTGAGTGACCTTTGAAAACCATATGAGGGGAACATTATAGTGGCATGTATAGTTTAAAAAACTCCCAGTTTAAAATTCCTGGATATGCTGGATAAAATTAAACATACCTCTGTTTAAATGTGTTGCCGGCCAGGCGCGGTGGCTCAAGCCTGTAATCCCAGCACTTTGGGAGGCCGAGACGGGCGGATCACGAGGTCAGGAGATCGAGACCATCCTGGCTAACACGGTGAAACCCCGTCTCTACTAAAAAATACAAAAAACTAGCCGGGCGAGGTGGCGGGCGCCTGTAGTCCCAGCTACTCGGGAGGCTGAGGCAGGAGAATGGTCTAAACCTGGGAGGCGGAGCTTGCAGTGAGCTGAGATCCGGCCACTGCACCCCAGCCTGGGCGACAGAGCAAGACTCTGTCTCAAAAAAAAAAAAAAAAAAAAAAAAATGTGTTGCCAAGTTAGCTAGAAAAATAAAAAAATCCCAGAGGCCAAAAAATGAAATGTGTCTTGGGACTGAGGTTATGATAAAGATTATTTGCTTGGCCAAACTTTAGTCAGGCTTCTGAACCTTTTAGGCTTATTTGTACACCTCTTTGTAAAATCCAGTTTTCGCAAAGAGCCTTGCTAAGTCAGTTTAGCAAGAACCCCCTCACCTTTGATATCTGATCATTCTCAATCTCTGATCAGGCCCCTCATCCTTCACCATCCCCTGGGTGATGTCTGATCACCTTGGCCTATCTTCACATGAATCTCATTAGTTTGTGTTAGCCAGAATCCCTCTTACCCTTGATATTTTTCTCTTATTTATTGTTCATCTACAGAGTTGAGCCCAATCTCTCCCACTGCAAGACCACATTGTAGTGGTACCTATACTTATTGTGATGGAAAATCTTCCTTACCTCACTTTATGAAATGTCACTGAATAATTGTCTTTAACAGGTGTTTTGTGGCTTTTAATTTCAGTAACCAAGAGGCTTGGGTGGCAGGAAACAATGCCTGAGATTGAAGCAAATTTGGAACTGAGACCCCTGCATAAAGCCCTTGGACTGTGTTCTCAGAGAAAAAGTAAACTTTAAAAGTCCACCTGGTATCAAAGAACATGGCTTGGAAACTTGTTTCTCTAGGCTTTGCTCTTGTCTAGGATTGGTTGTAAAAAAAAATTACTATTCTCTGAGAAGTTTTATCTGTTTTCCTGTCCTCCATCATATTTGTGGTTTGAATTAATTGTTACCTACTTGGCCTAGGAGGCTCTAACCCAATAATTTAAATTAAATGTCACAGATAGAAGACATAAATCTTCACTTGGTTTGGTTTCACAGGATTTCAACAGATAAAGTCCTGTCAAACAGAAACATACAATCCAAAATTACAAAACACACAAATAAACAAAGCACTCTGAAGAAGTGTCAAAACAACAACAACAACAACAACAACAACAAACAGCAGAATTAGACAATCAAGGATTTAAAATGTTAGAATTTAGAGATATAGAATATAAATTACTAAGTTTCAAATGTTTAAGAAAGAAAAGAAATTAAAAACATGAGAAAGGGACAAGATGCTATCAAAAAATACCAGCAGAATTGATAAAGAACCAACCTGAACTTTGAAAAATTAAAATGTGACGATTCAAATTTTTTTATTATACTTTAAGTTCTGGGGTACATGACCACAACGTGCAGGTTTGTTACATATGTGTACATGTGCCATGTTGGTGTGCTGCACCCATTAACTCATCATTTACATTAGGTATTCCTTCTAATGCTATCCCTCCCCCCTCCCCCCACTCCACGACAGGCCCTGGTGTGTGATGTTCCCCACCTTGTGTCCAAGTGTTCTCATTGTTCAATTCCCACCTATGAGTGAGAACATATGGTGTTTGGT